CGGCTCCAGCACACACAAACAAACTCCCATCTGCACGCACACACGCATAGACTCACGCGCACGTGCACGTACACAACCACACACGGACACACAGCTGAGGCACTTGCACACACGGTCCACATTAATGCAGGGGGAGTGCACTTTTTGGTGTCACAAAGCTGTTTTTAACCTCTCAGCGCGAAGGACTGGGCTCTTATTTTGTATTTCTCTCTCTCTCTTTCTCTCTCTCTCTCTCTCTCTCTCTCTCTCTCTCTCTCTCATATCAGTGTTTTGTTGACAGTAGAAAACCTCTAAACCAGCCGTGACACAAACTCTCATTTCAGATTTGGTCGGGATTGTGTGGGATTAGCGGAGTGTGATGGACTGAAGCTCTGGGAAAGACATTTTCATCGTTATGTGTGTGTGTGTGTCTGTGTGTGTGTGTGTGTATTTAATCCACTATATTCTGCACACTCTCTGAAAGCACCAAATGACTTTACAGTTTATGAAATTTAAAACCAAACTTTTTGACACAAACCATGTTAGACAAAACTGATTTAGTAGTCATTTGAGATGGACTTCATGAGCTGCTTTTATTAAAAGAAACATTTAAATGAAATGAAGGATTCAGTATTCTACTCCAAAGATCTCTGACGCCCTGCAGGGGACGAAGCAAACTACGTGGTACATAAACTATAGCGGAAAAAAATATACAGTTTGAAATACAGTGTTTTGCTGTATAGTCAAAGACATGTTTTAACTAAGTTGCATGACCGGCGTTGAGTGTGTTATGTGGATCTAGTCTTTTATAGCCGTGTTTTGCAAAACATGTTTTGCATTTGAAAAGTAATGCTGAGTTCAACTGATCAGTCAACACATATTTATCTGCACACTAAATGTGAGCGAGGAATTCACAATAGTCGCGAATCAAAGCATACTACTAGTGTTTTTGTGTTTCATTTGACCCTTTATTTTTTTCACTTGTCCTTGGCACATGATGCTTCCCCTAGGAGGGATTAAGCACAATTTCTTGAATTTGAATGAATTCTGTGCTGAAGCAACTTGATCTCTTTGAAGTGTTTTTGCGGGCAGCAACGGTTTGGTGCAGCTCAAAGTGTTTGAGTGTCGTGAGTTGTTTGTCTGTTTAGAAACCGGAGAGAATAATTTCCAATCAGCATCTGTGAGGCAGAAACCACAGAGCATGAGAGGTTTAAGCCACGGCCGACTGATGACGCGTTAAGCCTCCTGCGCCTGGCTGACTAATGATGACACAGTGATGGCGGGTGTCACTGATATATACAACATGTCAAGGTTGCGGCCACAGATGAAGTCATCGGGGACTGACAACCAGCTACCCTCCTTCCTCATGTCCAAACTGGGTTGAATCCTAGAAAGGAAACGTCAGTTAATTAAAAACATGAACTGAGCGCTGGCACTTTTCCTTCTGTGACGTTTGTCAGCATGCGTTCTCATATCAGCTTATTTATCAGATTTGTAATTCTCCCGTAGTCCATCACGCAGCTCGTTTGTTACACAACATCAATCTATGCTATTTACGAGTCATTTCCTGATGAAGTGACTCACGTTCCTTCAAGCTGCAACGATGACTTCAGTTAATTATTTCCTATATTTAACACTTAACACATGACGCTTAAGACCCTTTTCAAGCAGTGTGTTCATGCTCTGTTGTGTGATTGCTGTTGATGAGTCTGGACGGAAGCCTCTATGATTGCGGACTGACCCCAAAACCTTTTTGATGAAGTTCAGGAGAAACAGAAAAAGAGAGAAAATGAAGAGAAGTAGACAGAGAAATACCCACGCATACTTATCTACTGATACAACATTCCTTTTAGTTGAGACGTTGGGTTCTGGAGTGGAGCCCTTGCACGAGTCTCATATGTGACAATTCAATTCAGAGGGCTTTGCAGTCTGTACAGATGCGACATCCTCAGTCCCGAAACCCTCACATCGGCACAGGAAAAACTCCCCAAAAGGTGTAGGAACCCTTCCATGGGGGAAACAGGGAAGAAACCTTCAGGAGAACGTCAGAGGACGATCCCTCTCCCGGGATGGACAGACTACAATGGACGCCATGTGTACAGAATGAACAATGTAAAAGATGCACAATTCAATACCTATACCAGAAATGATTCAAATATTGCGGGTAGTAAGCAGGTGTACGGCAGGACCACTGCAGGGACCACCACCATCAAAGACACAGACACCAGTGGGTTGGTGGAGCGTGCGGCCGTCCTCCAATCAGACGGTTGGCGGTTGGATTCCGGCGCCTTGTTAACCTGTATTTCCATGTGTCCATCAAGACACGTATACCCCTAATTCCTCCCCGAGCATAGTGGAAAAACCGTGGGTTAAAATAAAATGTGAGTCGCTTTGGATAAAAGCGTCAGCTAAAATGACTTGTAATGTAAGAAGTTGTCCTTGGGCAAGACACTTACCCCCAACATTGCCCTTTGTAGCTGTGACTACAGTGTGTGGCTGTTAGTTACAGGTGGACAGGTGTCACTGTGTATGGGATCTCCCGTCATCACTGAGTGGATTTGAGTGGAAGGAAGACAAGATACGAGAAAGTCCATTTCAAATGTACCATTTGTCTCCACTGGAGGGCAGAAAGGGACAGGAGCTCTGATCAGCTGGACACAGGAGAGAGAAACACACACTGACAGGCTGTATAATATCATGTTGCAACGGGTATAATGGAAATACAATTATGTCATGAGCCTTCAAATAGGTTTCCATGTTGGACATTGATTCATCAAGAAGTGTAACAAACGTTATGTTGCTCCATTATAAATCATGTTTTGCAACACATGCTTTGCCAGGTACAAATTTTGATTGGATAGATTCTCCAAAATGCTTGTTTGTATTCTCGGCTTTTCATTGAATGGACTGTACTTGTTTTATCTTCTTTCTAGTGTTCCTTTTACTCAAAGCTCTTCAACTCTACATGATTCACCCGTTCACATTCGTTCCCACTCTGATAACAGGAGCCACCGTACACATGGACACACGGCCCACCAGTATCTAACATTCACACACCTTATTCACAGCTATAGGGAGCAACAAGTGTCTTCCCAAGGACACACCGGTGGAGCCGGGGATCAAACTTCCATTCAAAGGGGACACCGAGACACAGTCAATGGCCCGCAAAGAAAAGAGTCACTGCAGCTCATTCACCGAGACTGTGAAAAGATGAACTCTCACGAAACACTACGAAGTGATGACATCATACTGTGGCTTTGGAAATACCAAACTTTAACACATAGCAAAGGGCAATATAGAGAAATGAAAAAAGCAGAGCAGAGCGTGAGAGAAATGGCAAAGGGATGGAGCCGGCTGTGTCTGCTGTGGTTTTGGGGAGTTATTTGGTGTCAAAATATGCCTTAATGGTTGCTGGGGATCCATTCATTACAGGCAGGAAGCAGAGGGGGGTTTTCTTCTCATTTAATGTGACCGCTGAGCAGGCGGCCAAGCCAGCATCCTCCGCCCCGACGCGACACATATACTTGACTATGTATACGTGCATAATTACACTGCCGCGTATGTAAATGACGTGAACAACAGCAGCTTACAAATATGTGTGTTCAGAAACACCAAACGCACACAGAATGTGGTGATTGGTAGAAAGAAGGATATTTTTCTCGACGTAAACGCACACCAAAGTATTTAGGCTCGATAAAGCAGAGTTTTAAAGGTTTGGTTTGTCACTTTTTAAGTCACTCGCTTCCTTTTCCTCCATCGGTCCCTTTTTCTGGCACAAAGCCGAGCGCCCCCTTCCCTCCGTCACACTTCATACTTTAACTCCTTCCTTCCTCCTTTTCTTTCTTTCCGTCTGATACAGAGCCAGAAATACAGCTTGACAGCCGTACCTTTAGGGAGGGCGTGTTAACACCTCCTCCCACACACACGCCAGGGCCTTCGGACCTGTTTATGAAGTGTACGCCTCCTGGCATTTAGGCACCGATAAATATGCGACGCGAAGGAGGAAGACATTTTGAATTGAATATTAAAGATTTTCCCTTTGAAGAAGGATTCTACTGACGCTCTTTTGTTTTGCGGCTCAATGCAGAAGGTTCTGGAATCGCTGTTGAGTTGTGTTTTATATTCATGTGTCTTTTTCACACGCCTCGGACCCGACAATGGTGACATTCCCTTGTACGTAATTGGTTTAAAGCCACCCAAGTGCACATAAAAGAGAAGAAAACGTTCATGGCTTATGAATGGCGACGTATTTAAAACAAAATAAGGTAACTAGGAGCTTCACACGGCGAGCAAAGTGTGCATGCTCGCCCGTGTGTGAGCATATGGGGTTACATGTTGGATATAAAGGCTCCGTCCTCCCTCGCGCTGCAACCTGAGTGCATGCGTGTGCACTCACACACGCATGCGAATCAGCAGACATACTTTAACGCCGCCAATCACTCGTCACCACAAACCCTCGCGACAGCTTTCTATCTATTAGCACTCTCCTACCACGTGGCCCTGAGGCTCGGATCCCTCTCAGTGCTGCGTCATATCGCATTGATATCACCTGAAACCTCACTTCAGGTATTTTACATGTATATATGTTATATCACATGACGTGAGGAGCAGACAGATATTTTGACATTGGCATGAAAAGGGGGGAACAAAGGGAAATGTAACTAAACCTTCCAGCCAGCGCCTCGTACATTTATTAATTAGCATTAAAATATTGTTGGTTTGACAGAATGGCAGGTTGTGTTTGCAAAAAGCTTTTGTTATGTTCGGGAGGCTTTTGGCTGTAGTATCTAGTGGCTGCTATTTAAATAACATTTACATCAACAGTAATCATTTACTCCCCAGGAAGTAAAGTAAGAGAATTTGAAGAGTTACTGTTTAACTGCAAACAGTGAGGTACTGTGTGCAAAGCATGGGGGGGGGGTGAGGAGTGGGAGGGAGGGAATTACGGTGTAGAATGTCCTCCTCGGCGTTGGAGTTGACCTGAGAGCAAAGTTAATCCTCCACTAACTTAGCGAGGGAGAGAGAGAACGGGAGAGAAGCCAGAGTTGCATTCTGCACAGTTTGACTCAAACAAAGACACTTGCATTTGATAAAAAGTCTGAATAACCGACAAAGAAAAGAGAGGTTCTCCAACACTGGACTAACGGATAAAGATCCACTTAACTGAGAATGGGAGGTTAACAAATCTATATCCGAGGGCATGCACTTGCTCCTGAAGAAGGATTTTTAAGCTATCATCAGTGTGTGTGTGTGTGTGTACGGTCTATGTGGACTGTCCAGTTCTGGGGTCTGATTGTATGTCGGTGTGAGAGGCAGACACATGCCAGGTGCTGGTCCCGTCCGGGATGCCAGCTGCAGCACTGAAGCCTGCTCCGAAGGACGTCGGGACAGAGGGAGGGGCCGGACGAGAGGACCGCGGGTCCTCGGGACGGGAGCGACCGGCCCTGCCTTCCCTGAAGGTCCCCAGGGAGCTTCTGCGGAGCTTCCCCCACTCCAAACGGGTGGGATCCTATCTAGTAGGGAAAATGATCAACAAGGGATCTTTCGCCAAAGTGATGGAGGGGCTGCACATCGGCACGGGGGAAAAGGTCAGTGCTTTCTGCAGGGGGGGAGAAGAGACAGGACGAGGCGTGAAGAGACTCCGACTGTCTCACATTCATGCAAGATTACGATGACATGGTTGTGACTTTAACTGATTGTTATCTGGCTATTATCATTGTCATGTGTACAAAAAAACACCCTCAGACCCATATCTATCACAAGGATGAATATTTGAGGGTTCTTACAGGAACAGAGCTTTGTACCAAAGATCTTAAGAGGTCTGCAGTGGGTCTGTTTCTGATGAATATAATCAATTCAATTCAATTTATTTGCTGTAGCCGAAAATTACAAATTTGCCTCAGTGCCTCACAGTCTACTACTGTCTATGATTCTGCTCAAGAATCCTAAATCCATCAGGTTATGTATATATTTCCATCATACGAGTGTAGTCGCCTCTTATTGGGTAAAACACGCTGGTGTCGAATTTATTCTAAGTTTATTAAACAGGGACGAATCTGGGTTGGTTAAAAGTTGTTGCAGAGGCGTATTCCACGGCAACAGCACTTAACGCCATTTCTATGTTCTCTTAACGTAAAACAGCAGTTTCAAGTTACAAAAAAATCTCGTAGTATCTCGAGGCCTCCATTTTGATTTACTGGAGGGGCCTCTTCCTGAAACTCGCTTCATTCCATGTGAGTGAACGTGACTTTTATAATGTTACGGAAACACAAAGTCACTAGACATTCTTTTTATGAACACACAGAATCCAAAACACAGCAACACACTTCACCACTTCTGTTCAGTGGAGGAAGGTGCATATCTTTCTTTTCCTGGTCGCCGGGTCCCTGAAGGCAGCTCCGATACACCTGACCTCGTTGCCGTGGTGATGACCAAACCACGCTCGTGGTGTTTGCTCCTGTTGACCCTGGTTACCTGTGCAGGGACGGGATCTGCGGAGGTGAAGAATGCAAGTGTGCAATCACAGCACAGCTTTTCATGTCAAATAAAATACTAACTTTACACACAAGATGGAAATAAACTGTTAGTTAGTTATACAAACTACTCTTATCTGGACAAACTAATTATGAATAAACTCTATATCAACTTAAGGAATTGCATTATCAGGCCTTGTCCGTTTTTTATCATCGTTGACACAAAATTAGTTAAGAATTCAAATAGCTGCCAAGTTACGGACTTCAAACTCACATTACTGAGAGAAGTGGACATCTTTATTACATTTATTATGTAAAGAAAATATTTATATACCTGAGTTTCACAATGCTATTCAATTCATAAAATAGTCTAGAACTAACAAATTAATGAACTCATTTTCTTTGCATTACTTTGAGACCGGTGTGCCTGATTTTCAATATTCCTTACGAAGATAAAAGTTAGTCCTTTGTGTTTAGTAATATTGTTTTGTATTGATTTTCAAAAAGTAGTAAGGATGGGTTATAGTGACTCAAATAAACGCAATATACCACATCATTTACTGTTTCAAGATGTTACATTATTTACAATAGTACTGTATGTTGCAGCCTGTCCTCCCTTCCAATGCATCAGTACCACCGTTTGGTCTCTGCTCCTCGTTGTCTCATGGCCCCATGCTTGCATCTTACTCCTGTGTAAACTCACCTGAATCCCTGCAGAGTGGAGGAGGGCAAGAACAGATGTAAACCTTTTGTCCAGAAGACGCAGTTCTTTTCTTGTCCGAAACTAAAATTCAAAATTCAAAAATGTATTTTCCTCCAGCTGGGTTCGCTCTGGCTCTACTCAAACTGTGCGCTTGCCTTGCAGATATATTGTTGCTCGCTCCAGCTTTATTGCCCCTGACCACTTTCAGGCTGTGTGTGTGCTCTCGAATCACCAAAACATTCTACTCCCCAAACAATTATTCTTTGAGTTCCATTGAGATCCACAACTTCTACCAGATAGTGAGTGATTTAACGCAGAATCATTTTTTCACTTTGGATAAAAATAAGAAAAACCTTTAAAACACAACTTTATCCCTTGTGAACGTGTGTGTGTGTGTGTGTGTATTAGTTGGCCATTAAGGTGATTGACAAAAAGAAAGCGCGGCAAGACCCATATGTGCTGAAGAACATGAAAAGAGAACCTCGAATTCATCAGATGGTCCGACATCCACACATCGTTGTTCTGCTGGAGGTAGAAATTAAAAACACACATTAACATTATTATGTGATATGTCAATGGCATATACAGTCCAAATAATAATCTGATGAGGTCTTACAACGCTGCACCTGTAAATACCATTGTATTACATACTGCATATACTGTTCTGTCCATGCACCTGATGACCGTGTCTCAGACGTTGGAGACAGAGAACAGCTACTACATGGCCATGGAGCTCTGTGCTGGGGGAGACCTGATGGACAGGATCTGTGACAGAAAGAGGCTGGAGGAGAAGGAGGTGCGGCGCTACACCCGTCAGATTCTCTCTGCAGTGGAACACCTGCATCAACATGGCATCGTGCACAGGTGACATGACACACACACAATGTGCAATTCTTTTACATTTATTAAAGACTGTTAGCACTCTAAATTGTTGGATAGGAGTCTCAGGAGTTGTCTAAGCTGATCTAAACTAATCTAATTAATGAAATATTAATAGAAAAGTACTGCACCGCACCCTTTATGAAGAGACGTATTGGCCTTTGGATGACGTGCTGTGGCGTGTGTATAATGTTTGTTTGTTCATAATCATCCAGGCCATGGAGTAGCACTTCTGAATTAATTAATACGTTGATTGATCAGTTGACAAGAAATGGATGGTAATTGTAATTATTAATCAATAATCCAAACCATTCATCATTTACAAGTCGTCATTTAACATTTGCATATGTGTTTCTTTTGAACATCATTATTAGATCTTTTTTGTATTTTTCACTATTAATTGGAAGTGTGCTGTTGAAACAAATTGGTACAAATCCTCAAAGTTTTAAACTAAGATCTGGAAGATTTGGCCTGCAAGGGCCAAAGTCAGTGTTTCTTGAGACTACCGCGTGCATGCGATGTAGAAAGTGAAACGAGTCTTGAGCTACTTGGCTCTATTCAAGATTTAATCAAATAAAGTAAAATTAAGAAAGTGACTCAAATGTGTTTTTGCTCCCAACACATACGGCATACAAGCTTATGAGCACATATGTGCAAACACAAACAGAGTCGTTTGCAGGGGATTAACAATCAACAGACGAGAAAATGCAGTGCATGCATTGCATCGTGGGAGCTGTGAGTGTTACTTTACTGGCATTTTATTATGTGTAGGTGTAAGAGACCCAATACTCACTGCTAGGCTGCAATCACACACAATACGCGCTGGGCTTTGGTTTAAGACTTTGGCTCCTCCGAAGGTGGGAATGTGATTACCAGGCAATGACCTCATCATTCTGTGCCGGCGCCATGATTCACACATCATCACAACATCATGGACTTCCTCTCTAATGAACTCCCTCAACGATGGCGCTCTCAACCCTTCAACAGCACCTCCCTCCGGTCACACGCACACACACACACACACACACACATACTCATACAATGGCACACACTGCATTGCACTCGCTCTCTACCGCAGTCTCACACAGAGATGATTAAATTGGAAATAAATGGAAAATTTGCACTTAAACGCGCCTCCTACCACCCACATCCAGTAGGTTTACCACGTACAATTTCTCCTTAACGACAACGTCTGCTCTCGCTCTTTCTCTGTATGTCTTTTAACTTTATTCAGGTTGGGTGAGCTGTGTTTTCTGGAGTTTCTGTTGGTTAGATGAAGGCAGATGAAAGGAAGACGGCTGATTCCCAGGATATAGTTTATGGGGTGGGGGGGGGGGGGGGGCGCTCTCTCTTCAGACCCCAGATATTAATTTAGCTCGGTAGTTTCAGAGCAGGGCAGGGTGGTGGTTGTTGAGAACTGGGTAGGTTACAGTTTTTCTCGAATGCTTAAGCACGATTTTGATGGTTTCGTTTTTCAAAACAGTTCACACACGATTGGCACACCCACAAACTCAATTCGCTAAACACCTCAGATTCTTTGCAAAATAAAACAAAATTATACACCATATACAAAAAAACATATTTTTTTACCATATGACACACACACACACACACACGTTGCATTAGATTGTATTCTGTTTGTACCAGTTACACACTGCTGTTGAAAACCTTGAACACTTTTAGCCATTGTACTTCTCAGCGATTAGAGTAGTGTAAGTGAAGTACACAGAGAGTGCAAAACATCGCCCACATTTTCACCGCTATAAGCACAATGGCCTCCTCCTCCTCTGGAAATTCCCCTCTCACCCTCACTATTCTCATTCCTTCCGTTTTGGTTGCAACAGGTGAACTCACCTGCTGCATTTTATAGTGCTAAAACCTGATTGGTGTGTTTACAATGAAGCAATCTTGTGTCAGAGCAGCCGACGGCTGTGTTTAACCAATTGGCACATGGGTGTCTTAATTTGACATCTTGATATACTAAAAGTGTGTTTAGTAAGCAAATCTCTGTGTGTATTATTTTGCATTAACAGTGTGAGGCTGACATCGTGCTCATAGTGGTGCAAATCTGGGCCGTGGTTTTGCTCCTTGAGTGTATGTTTTGGATAATTGTATGATACATATGTGTGTATATATATATATATATATATATATATATATATATATATATATAATTTTAGGGTATATTCAAGATTTAAAAAATGTAAAAAGTAGAGTGAGAAAAGAGCAGGTAAGTGCGTGTTCACACTCGACTTTTACCTGCCAGGGCCTTTTTTACATGCAACCCTATGGGAAAAGGATGGGAAATCGATGGGAAAAGGACGCCTTCTAAAAAACTTTAAAAAGCGCAGCAACCGCAGCCTCTTGGAGTTCAATTTTCTCTTTTCAGAACAGTGCTGGGTGACGTAAGCGCCTTTCTGACAGCTGACCAATCAGGGTGAGGGGAGTAGGTACGTGACCTATTACCGTAGTTACCGGTTCCCCCAAAAAATACCAAGATGTAGAAGGTACCAACTGCCGTTTCACACTGACATGACATGAATCCCAAAAGATGATAAAACATAAAAGCGTCCATCTGGGAACAGATCAAAAGATCTTTCATACACCCATCAATGGTGCCTTGGCTGTTCCCGAACACCCTCCTCCTAAATAATTGCATTTTATTCGCCATAGTAGCTAGCTAACAATAAGTAATTGATAACCAACAGATAATAATGTATTTCTAAAATGTCTAATAACCGTTACCGTTAAGGGGCGTTACAACATTCTCGCCGTGAAGCGCTCAGAAAAGCGCTGAAGGTAGTAATTTTTTCTAAAAGAAGAAGTGTGAACACGCCCTGTCATGAATAGCTTCACTTCGGCCTGGTTTGTTTTTAACCTGAGCCTGAACCCTATGATGACTCGAGTCTAAAATAATGTATCCTCCAAATGACCACATGCTGTTCACGCTGAGCTCTGCCCTACAAATATTTAGCTCAGGTTTTCATATGGTTCTGATTCTGTGGGTCTAGTGTGGTCTCATATACGGTAAATATAAACACACTCAATTTAACTACCAGCATAATGTAGTAAGGAAGGAAGGAAAAATCTCTTAGAAATTCCCATGGTTTGAGAACAAAGCTCATGAAAATACTAGTAACCAAACAGCTCTCTCCCTTTCTCTCTCCCTTCTTTTCTTCTGCAGAGACTTAAAGATTGAAAACTTTCTGCTGGACGAGCATAACAACATAAAGATCGTGGGTATGTTTATTTTCTTTATTTCTTCTTGTTGATGGACAGCTCCCCCTAGCCATGTAGTACATCTGTGCATGGGCTCCTGTGGTAAAATGCTGATGTTTCAAACAGACTTTGGCCTGAGTAATACTCTGAAGGCCGAATCTTTGTCTCTGGAGCTACTGAACACCCAGTGTGGAAGTCCTGCCTATGCGGCCCCTGAGTTGCTAGCTCACCGGAAGTATGGACCCAAAGTGGACGTCTGGTCCATGTAAGTGAAAACAAATGTATGTTAGTTGAGGAAGCTTGCTCCTTTTATAGTGTGGAAGAGTGTGCATCTCTGTAACACGGTTTGAAACAGCAGACACACGATTCATTTCATGCATCTTGAGAAAGTGTTTGTTTCTTCACGTTTCGCTTGTGTGAGCAGAGGCGTGAGCATGTTTGCCATGCTGACAGGAACTTTGCCCTTCATTGTTGAGCCATTCAACATCAAGCAGCTGCACCAGAAGATGGTCAACAGAGAGATGAACAGCATTCCCAGTGACATCAGCAAAGGTAATGTAAGATTTCACCTGAACATTTTTTTTATATATAAATATTAACTTATTTCTGTTATGATTGAATCCTCGGTCAACAACTTAACTAAGACTTGCATGACATTAAAATGAAACAAAATACAGAAAAGAAACAAGTCGTACTGCCAAATTGTTATAGGATAAATTAGCAAAAGCATGTTTAGCAGATATAAAAGTCCAAGTTTGGTCTTGCATTTAAAAGGTGTCACTTAGTTACACAGTCAGCATTTGGGTATTACTGTCTCCTAAATGTGGCTCAACGTTAACTGTGGGTAATGTTTGTCAAGCTTTTTGGAAATGAGTCTCTGCAAACAAAAACTGTGAGTCTTCACAGCTACTTTGATTGTTTTCCTTCAAACTCTGCTGAACTTTTGAAGTTATCTTCCGCCAGGAATTCTTGTCATTAGCTCAGTTTTTGTGTCAACTGTTTTTGTCGTATCTTCTTGTTCCACCATATGGTGGTAAGGAGATGTCATTTTTAAACTATCATTTAAAATCAATGAACACACTCAGTTGACCGTGACTGAATTGAATGGAGCAATCTTGGCTTATCTCGCAATTATTACGTCACTCATTGGGTTGTGGAGATGCGCACCCAGCAAAAATAAAAAATAAAAGAGCCGAGTCGACGAAGAAGAAAGAGCAGCCAGCAGTTGTTGTGAGTCACTTGGCGCAGGCAGAGAAGTCTGTTCGAGCACAAGGTGTGCAAGCATTTCACACTAAATAAATATATATATATATATATATATATATATATATATGCACAGTCAACGTAACATAGCCCTTCTGTTGCTACTGTTTATTTGTCATCCAGCGGATCAAGCTAGCGTTAGCTCGCTAATAACAGCAGTAAAGCTGCTAAAGACACGTTTTTACACGCCTTTTTTGGACCATTCATTTCCAATCTGTTGTCTTGTATACAGTGATTTTCTTTTTATTATTATTATGTTCAAGGAGCAACCTGTACTTTCTGAAGTATTTTAGATTAATCGATTAATCGATCAAAAATAATTACTTCTATCCATAGTGTCCTCTCTGATGTAATTTCAGTGATGTACTAATGAACCGCACATCAGTCTGTCAGTCTTGAGGAGTCCTGCACCATTCACGGTCTTAATTCGGTCTTAATTGGTAACAGAGAAAACTACATGAATAAATCCCAATAGTGCCTGTTAATCTCAGACTAACAAGTCTGACCAAAAACTGCTCCCAATGATCATTTTAAATTCTGAAAATGAAGGAAACAAATGTTGCACTGATTTACTTATGCTCTTCTATGCTTCAGGTGCGGTTGCGTTTGTGTTGTCTCTGCTGGAGCCCGACCCAGCTAAGAGACCTAGTGTCAAAGCTGCAATAGAAGAGAGATGGATCAACGAGGGACATGCCAAGAAACCACCACAAACACCCTCTCTTAAAAACAGGTCAAATGATTTACCCTCTATACTACGAAGATAACAATCTGACATACTTTTAATGCTGCATTTAGTAGAATTTACTAATGTATTTAAATAAGTGATGCATGCTGGTTATATCTTGATCTTGATCTTGATCTTTGATCACAAAGCTCTTTGTGCTCCCAGTTGATAATCATGAAAGTAAAATTGTTCAGTTAATGGTACTGCTATTCAACAAATCTTTAATGACATTACGTTCTTTTCTTCACTATTCAAACGTCATATTTGTAACTATCTCCACCTCCCACACCCTTGTTATTTCCCAGGCTGTGTCCAGAGGATCTCAACTCTTCTGTGCTGACATATATGACCGAGACACTGGGCTTCCCCCTGTCTGAAATCATACACACACTTACCATCAACCGACCCTCTGCAATCATGGCTTCCTATCACCTGCTGCTCAACAAGCTCAGTAGGAGCCAGAAGGGGGCCAAGCCCAGCAAGGTTCCTTATTTTTAACCACACACAGACACAAGTGAGTCCAAAATATTCTGCGATGGAATTCTAACATCTGATCGATCTGGCAGAAACTAGATGGCAACTACCTCAGTCTTCCAAGCAAGAATACGTGGAGAGAGAAGCATAATTCTGACTCAAAGACTCCGAAACTGGTAATTTTTTTCAATTCCATAATCAAAAATATTGGGATGATTTAAATATATGAAAATGCCATGATCCCATTTAGGGGATATGCCTTTTTATCGTCAGGAAATCCCAAAGTAGACTAAAAACCCCCAATACTTCAGTCCATCACTCCACACTTTCTGGCATCCCGTCTATCCGTGTCAATACACTAGTACCCATTTGATCCTATGGATCAGGGGTGCAGTCAACGCCTGCATTGAAAAGTAAATCACGTCGTGTCACCACGCATGCAATCATGTAGCGTACTAAACATCCAAGTGAAATAATATCAAAACTAGCAACAAATCAAACTGTGTAAAAGGAGTGTTGGGCTGTATTAAAGAGTTGATATGACATGACATGTCTCTGTTACACTAGCCCGAATGACTAATCACTGCCTGTTTTTAGAATGAACCAACCAATGAAAAAAGATCAAAGCAGTCCAGCAAGCCTTTGAGATCCCAACAGACAACTGCATGTCCGATCAACAGGAAGAGGAGTGAGGACCGCCTGTGCAGACAGGACCAACGAGATATGGAGAATCGCACCCCCTCCCCATCTCTACCCCAGCTTCTTCATTCTACCTCCCCAGTAATACCGCCTCGTTTTACCTCTCCCTTCCCCATCCCTCAGTCTACGGAGGATGGAGCCACCGATGAAGAGATCGACATCAAGTTGGAAACCAAAGAGGCGCTGTTTCCCAGAGGTAAGGATTTACAACCAAAGCTGCATATTTTCACAGTGAAGTGTGTGACATACCTGAGTGTCTTTATGTTAATGTTTTCCAGTGTCTGTTTTCGGAGAAAGAGAATTCGTCCATCTTCCTCCTAAAAACTCTGCATCTCAACTATGTGACTCTACCCCTTGCCAAGTCCCCTTACTTGCTCAGCCAATCCGAGACAGCAGCGCGTTGAGGCCAATTCGACAGACGCATCTGCTAAGGACAACTCAATCCGACGGGGCAGCAGACCCTGGGTCACAGTGCTTCCATGGAAACGGCCGCAAAGACGATCACTCTCATCACTTGAGCATCAACGAGCGTCTGGAGAAGCTGCAGACGTTCTATTCCTCCGAGAAGAACGGCATTTCTCCGAGGATGTTCCTGGAGGCTACACACATCACACACTCCTCAGACAGAGACCACCTTGGTGTCACGGAGACGGCCAAGACACGCTCCACCCCGCTTCCCCGCCTGCGCAACCTGGGGCTAAAAGATGGACGAGGCAGAAAGATGACATTGGTAGGTTTAAGCCGACCCAGGCCCCCAGGACTGCTGGTAAATGGGTCTAAACCTCCCGCCTTTCCCTCACACAGACAACATACTATGGTCATTAAAAGTCTAAGGCAGCAGAAGGAGAAGAGGAGAGATCTGTCTGCATCAGGAGGAGGGGAGAGAAGCACAGCAGGAGGAGGGCTAAATGGAGCTACAAGCAACTCAATTCAGTTACGTTCATCTCACCAGCGTCAGGTGGCAGACCTGAATCTGCCACTGCTTCCTACAACTCTGCAGAGGATGACAAATAGCAAGAACCAGCTACAAAACATGGATTATTGTGTCCTTCCATAGATGGGAGGACAAAATAGAAAGACGTTGATAATGGCCATAAAAAGGTTCGACAAAGAAGATGAAGTACCTGAATTTAGTGTCACATTTAGAAAGCAGGAATTTTGAAATACTGCCTTGTTTTGAATTAGGGGCGACATCAGGGGGGATAAAAGAGGAGAAAGATTAGGGGTGGATGCTATGAAATACTGAGTAAGCTAAAAGCGGTGTTGAGAAGTTTTGTGGAACAGGTGTAATGGCAGCTACAAAAAGATGCTAACGCTACAAGTATTGCCTGGTTAGTATGATTGTATTAGGCCATGCTCAGCAATTCGTCTCAAAAAACAGATGCAACCTTCATATGCTGCAGTGCCAAAATGGCCAACTCAAAGCTCATCGATTTTAATTCAGCCTTTAGTTGCAACACTTGATTCGTCTGGAATTCCGTTTTCATCTCCAGCAGAATGCTCATGGATAGTAGCTGTTGTCCATGAATACATTTTTGTACCAACACAAAGTCAAAGTAAAAAAATTTTGTATACATACATGAAATGTGTCTTCTGTATTTTATCCCTCCAACGCAATTTATGGGCAGTGGGATGCAGTGAGGGGCCCCGGGGAGCAACTTTGGGTTTGACATTTTGAGGTAGGACAACTACCCCAAGCATCAATGCTACTTACCGCGTCGATATATGTCGGCCCGGCATTGTTTTTAGCTCAATGACATATTTTTTAAGTGCAAAAGTTGAGTTTGGTTGTCTTTCAACATCATGCTCAGCTATGACATCTCCACTCCAGCCAAATGGGCTTTCCTTTTTCTTACTTTATTTAACCAGACCAGGTCAATTAACAAACAGGTTCTTAATCGGAGTAATGAGCCGGATCAAAAAGGAATCAACAGGATACAAGTATGTTACAATGGAACACAAAATTAGAAACATCTCAATCATTTCAAGTGGACTTTAAGACCCATTAAAGGCCAAGTTTTACTACGTTATACGGTCCAGTCCATACATCATACATCACAACATTTGGTGGAATGTAAGTTTGTTTTATTTTATTTCATTCTCTTTTTTTCGTATGGACGGGGACCAAATATTGATACAATGAGGTCTGCTAACATTTGGAAACACTTTTGGATAACATTTAAACATATTATATATATGATAAATATTGATTGAATATTGATAAAGCAACTTACCTTTACATTTTCACCACACAACAAATATTTAATACTCTAAGTATAGCAGTCGTGCTTACTCAATAATTTGTCATGGTATTGCAAAGCTGATTCAAACCACAAAATTGAAACTTAAAAAAAACGCAAATCACTGACACGCATTTCCTCCACTATTCGCCCATTTTGCTTATTTCATTGTGTCACTGTCTCCAGATCATTAATATGTAAGGATGTAGTGAAATCTCGTTGCTGCTTTGTGCCGCTCTGCTAAATAATTGAGGCGCTGTTACCTGATGCTCAAACCTCTTTGTGTGCGTGTGTTGGGGTATTGTGCATGTTGCGTAAGCCCAATAAGGATAGATTAAACCCACTGAGATAAAGACAACCGAAACTCCAGTTACCTCTCCGGTTACTCAACAATACAAACCACGATGCAAACACAATTATATTGCACAAAGGCAATGCTAATCGTGGAACCAGTTACGGACATCTTAATGACATCGCTTCTTTTTTCAATCAGGAGAGTGAATGATTGTGTGAAGTGAACGATTAGTAGTTAAAACCTGTTGCACTTAAGAATCCCCGTCAAAGGTACAAATCGAGAACCAACACGGCGGTGCTAATGCACATTTCCTCAGCGAAGCATAATAAAGAAAAGCTAAACTACTCGTGCAATCGTAAGTGCAAACTAGTCTAGGTATAGTTGGTAGAGGTGTGTTTTAGCTGTAGAGGCTTTATGCTGTCCTGATGTCATTGGGGAGCTCATTACACCGTCTGGGAGCAAAGACAGCAGTCAGAGGTTTTTGAGTTTAAGTCTCTTTGAAGGAGCAAAAAGCAGATTGGCAGATGCAGAGAGGAGTAGAGGCAGTGAATTTAGGAGACCAGAAGACCAGATGAACTGCTGCATGCTGGATGAGCTGCAGAGGTCAAAAGGTGCTGATAAGACTGGCAATCACTAAAACAACAACAGCTAAGACCATCTTCTTTGAAAACAACAATGGGAGCGACAGAGTCACAGCACAGTGAGAAGTGGGGTTTTTGTGATGAGGGCAGTGGAATCTGGGGACGTGTGTGAGCGTTAGTAGATAGAAAAAAGTATGATTTCTCTTCTCTTGAAGTTACTTAATTGAAAAGCCTTTACACTATTAGCGGATTGTAGAAACTGTGAGATACTGAGAGGTGACCTTAAGGTAATTAGTAACACCTAAGACTTTAAAGGGAGATGCGACTATTTTGAGACATACAGTGCGTTAAATTAACACATGCCTGAACGGGAGGGATGGAGATGCATTGACAGCGCATTGCTAAATAAATTACTGATACCATTTTTTTTCAACAGTGGCAAAAGGTCCAAATAAAAGAAATTACACCAACATTTTACAAATCAGAGGAAGTATATTGTGATAATGGTATACCTTTATTATACATACTCAGCAGGACTGATGGCACGAACAAATGGTACAATTGGATCAAAATCAAGAAAATTATAGCTATAATGAAAGATATTTGGGTAACTATTATATGGTAGATCTTATTATCTTGTTCAATTTTAATCATTTACTAAACAAGATGAAAAGAGAATAAATTAACATTTCAAAAGAAAATATATTGTTGCTGTTTGACGTTCTTCCCGTCAGAAGGTGCCAAATAAACTGGATCGTCATTGGGCATAGAATCTCACACACTGTAAAAGTGGACCAATTGTCTGCAGAGGCTTGTGCCACTGATGATTCTCAGTATGTAGATGCCAGACTCCTCTGTGCTACGTAACAAGGTGTCTTTAAAACAGAGCTTGGTGGTTTGTCTGCACCACAAAAATGGGTAAGCAATCCGTTTTAGTCAGGCAGAATTACGCAGCATCAGAGAGACCAAAAGGATTTGTTATTGTACTTAGTGGTAACAGGTCCTATGTTGACAGAAGCTGAATTCCTAAGTACAAAAAATAAAAGCATTGACTCATTTGGAGAGTCAGCAGAGCAGGTTTAAAGAGACTATGATAGGCAGACTATCTTTGGTCAGCACAAACTCAAGGAGTCACAGCTGGCGAGGTAACTGGTCCTGATGAGAGCAGCAGAGCAACAGGGCAGAAAAAGTAAAAGAAGAAACCTTGTACAGCATTTGAAAGACTCATATATTCTGAACACTTTCTCTGCGATCACTATGAAAACGAGGTGATCGGAGCTGAGGTGGGAGGAGAGAGGGGAGGAGAAGCTGGGGGGATTGACTTTAGATTATCACTTACAAAATTGTGCAAATGGTATGCACACATATTCAATTCATTTTATTTTATATCGCCCAAAATCACAAATTACTAATTTGCCTCACAGGGCTTTACAGTCTGCACACATGCAACATCCTTTGTCCCTTAACCCTCACATCAGCACAGAAAAAACTCCCCAACAAATGGGGAAAAAAAGGAAAGAAACCTTAGGGAGAACGTCCGAGGAGGATCCCTCTACCGGGATGGACAGACTACAATGGATGCCATGTTGTCGTGCCACATTGTATAAGTAGAATGCTGGAATCATGGTTCAGCAGTTTTTGTGTCAGTATTCCTTTTCGCTGTTTGTGGGTGTTGCCTTATATCAGGTATGAGAGGACTACTGCAGCAATGGGTAGATGCTACCATGACTAAACAACTTCTAGTGTACCTACGGAATTCTCAACAGGACGATGGGAATCCGGGTATGCTGGGGGAATCCTCTTGATTCCACACGTGATTATATCGAGGCCTAATTGGCCTTCTTCTCAGTAAAATGTTGACACTGAGGTAGTAGTGATGACTAACACGGGAAAAATCACGATAAATGATGAATAAAGAATTATCTGTATTGGGGAAAACAGTATATTTAAAAAAACATTTAATTTGGCTTTATCTACTTTAGATGAAGGGTGTAAAACTTAATCACGGACAAAGAACATTTTAAACTCTACGTCGGGGGCCAAATAGGCCCTACTATTACCTTTTTTGTGTGTTGGGTCGTTGGTTTTAAGATAGTTGACAGGGTGGATAGAAATGATTTGGGGCGGGGCTTATTTGAGTGAGGGGGTAGATAAGGTGGGGTGGGGGGATTAGATAGCATGGTTAGAAAGGGGGGCAGGGCGGAAAGAATCAAGGGAGGGGAGGACATCTGTGTGGGGGAACGTCGTGGCGCAGGGGTAGAGAGGGAGCGCTGGGAACTGTTGGTGGTTTGAGCCCCGGCTGCCCCATGTCCCATTGTTGAAGTGTCCCTGAGCAAGACACCTAACGCCTAATTGCTCGCTTTGGAGCAGCTAAATGACCTGTAATTGAACAAGGTAGTGTTAGAAAGGGGGTTTAAAGGGGGGGGCAAAAAGGGGGGCTCATGTAAGGGAGGGGGTGCAAAGGGGGTTCTGAAATGTCCTCTGTAAGACCTGAAGGTAGACTGCACTAATAACAGCTGTGAGGCTCAGACAGAGAGAGACTGCAGCGCGTGTTTGAGTAACCTTGGTAACGGTGCACAAAGGGCAGAGACAGACAGCAGCTGTGTCTCAGTCGCCAGGCTGCATCCATAATGACGTGTTCATCGACCGCATACGTCACTTCCGCTGCGATTCGGCTGCCCCAATCCGTCGGCTCCTCTCTGCCAGATTGGATTTGATGGATTTGAAGAAGTTTAGGAGGATTTGAGAATAAGCTCCATTGGAAAACCATGTTAAAAAAAGTTTAGGAATTTGTTGAAGCAGCATTCCAACAATAAAGATTCGAAGAAAAAGGCTGCGTTCCATCAATTAAACAACAGCATCTAAAATACACGCTTTCTAAAGCAATTAATCATTATTTTTAAGATTTTGTCTTTGTAAGAAAAAGAAAAACAAACATTTATTAAAAACAACATTGCAACAACAACATTCATTGATCACCATTAATCAAGTTAAATCAATTTCATAGTGTGCAATTAATTAATTATTTAATTATTGTACATATCTATTGAGAGCTCTACAACTTACTCAAACTGAATTAGTGGAATTCTTCAAATAGACGGGCGACTGATCAAAGACCAGCTGTGCAAGTTACTCGGTGCTTTCTCTGCATAGATCACATTCCTATTCTTACATGTAAGTTCCTTTCTGACATTTTTATTTGTAAATCAAATAAAGTTTCTTAAGTTTCTCTCAAGTACTAACCTATATTCCCCCACATTCAACAGCAGGTTCTCTCAAACAAGGAAACAATACATGCAGCTAGGATGGATGTGGATTTACTTTCTTCTGATTGATTAATTGGATTAATAAAAGAGCACAAGGGCAATTTCTTTTTGTTCATGTTACGTAAGTTCCACTTGAATTACATTTCTTTGATTTTTATTTCCACCATCT